TCTCTCTCTCACTGTCTAACTCTGCCTGTCAAAAAAAATCTGCTCAATTCATCTAAATGTGAATGTGGCTCTTTTTTCCTACTTGGGCCCTGAATGATAAAAGTGTTAGAGAGGCAGGGAAGAGTCTGAAGTGAGCAAACACAACAGTGAGTTCAATAAATGTGAACACATTTATTCCTTATTTAGCAAACAGGGATTTTTATTCAAAATAAAAGGTTCTGCTGAATTAGTAGGTAAGAATAGAAAAGTCAGAAAACAGAATTACCAAGAAACATTGGCTTTAATCTTATTATGTGTAAGAGAATTGGGGTTGGGAGGGGCTTATAGAGGTTGCAGCCAGAGTTGTAACAAATACCCTGTTAGCTGGAGGAAGGAGTCTGAACTCTGATTTCCCTCTCTTTGGTCCAAAGGATAACACCAAGTTCATGCTGACTCTGAGAATTTCTCCAGTTTCTCAATGTGGCTGATATGCTGTGACCTCATCTCCTGCTTCTCACTTGTGTGATCTCCTCTCCTTGAGAATGGGCAAGATCTACCACTTGTCCTTAACTAGCAGAATCCAGTAAATGGGAAGAGACGTCCATCATGTGACTATGTTATATGAGACTACAACTTCTATCTTGCCAGCAGCCTCTCCCTGCGCGCTTTGATGAAACAAGACCTAGGCTATCAGTTGCGCTGTGGACAGGCCCATAGAACACAGCCCCGAGAGGAGCCTCTGCCCAACACCTAGCAAGAAATGCAAATTCTCAGCCCAGTGACCCTCCAGGAGGCTACTCACGTGAGCTTGGAATCAATTAATTAATTAATTGAAAAAGATGACAGCTCCAGTTGACTCTTCCATTGCAGTCTCGTAACATCCTGAAGCCTAGTTAGGTTGTACCTGGACACCCAATCCACAGGAGCTGTGAGATAAGCGATTTGTGTTGCCTAGAGCTGTACAGACTGTGACAGTATTTTTACCCAGCAACAAACAAGTACACCCACAGATACCATAGCCACATTCACTCGCGGTTTCATTCTTGAGCACTGACTGTGCTTGTTTCTGGGGGCAAAGATTTAGGAAAACTCAATTTCTATCCTCAGGCAACTCACAGACTAGTGGTGATGGTAGGAAGGGCCAGAGGAGGGAAGGAGACAGTGAAACCAGTCAGAACATCAAGGAAAGAGCAAGAAATAAATCTAGGTTGTAGGTAGGCCACTGATATTTATGGGTTTTCTTCTGCAGAAGTCAGTGCTGTTTATCTTAAATAATACAATTTAAGAAGAGCCATTTTGAAACAAATAACATTGTTACACATAACCATTGAAACATCTATTTATTAATAAGTGGTGCAGTATTTTTGAGAGAGAACATAAAAAATCAGATAAGAATAGTTTGCATAATATATATGGAAATCAACCTAGTAAAGTTGTTCAAATATTAGACAGAGCCAGAATATAAATTACACATACAGTTTAAAAATTACAGGAAATCATATTATAAAGAGCACTAAAGGCCACTTGTGGAATAGTTGTGTTCCCGTGTAAGCCAGAATGTGAAGGAAGCCTACTCATAGCACGGAGACAAATCCAGGGAGCAAGGCACCAGAATTCTATGCCGTAAAAGGGGTTAAAGAAAATACAATCCAAAATCAAATACAATGGCTTCATGTCATGGAAACCTCAATTTGTTTTTCAATAACTGGTGTTTTCCATCACGGTTCCATTAGACAAAAAAAAAGGTGGTGATAGGGGGAACAAGCCATCTCCCATTTGAGACAAGGCAGACATCATTTTTCTCTTGAAAACAAGGACAGAGTGACAAACCGGATGACGTTCACTTGTCCTTGTAAAGGTGATTCTTCAGGGTGGGGCAGAGCGGGCTTTGCCTCTCCCTGGGCGGAAATCTCTGCTGCTTAACAAAAGGACTCCCCCAGTTCTTTGAATTGAGTCCACCCCTCACCTCTCAGGGGAACATTGGAGGGTGGAGTTGTCCCCCTCCTCCTCCAAAAAGTTCTGGGAGGGAAAGAAGGGCCCAGTTACCAGATCTACCGGTCTTCCTTGGGGAACCTGGATGCTTTGCAATAAAGACAAAACTGTTCTGAGCTGTTGGCCTCCCAGACAACCTTTTTACAGACTACCCAGTTCTAGAAGGTTCCAAAGCTCTGAAGTAGATGTCTAAGGACAAAAGAACAGTCGGCAGACAAGCAGATGCTTGAACTTGTTCGGTTAAAAACAGAAAAATGGCAGGAAAACCTTTCGAGAGAGAAGAAGAAGTGCTTGTGAGATTATCTGCAGTCACACCAAACTCTGTGAGCTAGTGGATTCCAACATGAACCAGGTGAGTAATTTATGCAGCATTATCTTCTGCCCCTGACAGTGGACTGTGAAACCACTTGAAAGACCTGCTCAATAGCCAAGTGGAGCAGCCACCAGGCATTCTTCTTGTCTCTGGGGAACCCATGGATCTGTGATCACCTTACTATCAAGCCATAGAGGAGAGCAAGGCATTGTGTTCTGAGCATTTCCACTCATCTGGGAGACTTCGAGTCGGGGAGCAGAGTAGCAGAGAGTGACCTTGTAGGTACATGGGTTTGGTTAAAATCTCATCTACCTCTTATAAAGCTTGACCTTTGGCAAGACCTCTCTCCTCTCTGCTTCAGTTTCCTCATCTACAAGATGGACACAATAACACCTCTCACTGATGGAGTCTGATGAGGTACATGGAATCAAAAGAGAAAAGGACCATGTTACATGTAGCTCACTCATAGTGAGGGATTAGGATAAGTTTATTTCCCCGCCTCTGACCTCAGTTCATAATAGGAAAACATGCTTTCACCTGTCATTCCTCTTAGAGATCAAACTGCAGTCCAACTGATAAGTCTAAGAGCAATCACATGTGTTTTCTGATGTAGTAGGTTAGGCTTTTGACTGCTTAATTGTAACCATCCTCAAGTTACTCATACATAGACTGTGTCAAATAATTATTTCCTTTTGAAACTTACTCAAACCCCAGAAAAGTGCTATTTGGAGAAAGAAGACAGGTAGAATGACAATCTAGAATTACTGGGTCAATGACTGCTATCCAACAACTGGACCACTCTTTCTGTCCGCTGAGAGCTTTTAGTTCAACCTGACTCAGAGACCAGAACATACTTACTACTAGGTTTAACTGGATTGTGAAACCAGGGCTGTTGGGGAACCCTGACAAACTCTGGCAAATCTATCCCAAGCACAACCTAAATAGAAACCAACTACAGAGACACTCATTTGAGCCATCAGAGATGTGTTTACTTCCTAAAATAACTTCCTAGTTACAGAAACATGAGATGCCTCATGAGTTGACTCTTGTTTGCTTCCTTGTAGCCTCTTGTGAAGGTCCGAAAATATGCAGTTATGACCTACTCAATCCGGGTAGTTTTTTGGGACAAAGTAGGAGTAACCAGGCTGTACTCTGGTGCAACTTAGAGATCCTAATACAAAGGAACATTTTTGGTAGAACTGGAAAATTGGGGCCATAGAGATCCCAAAAGAAATCATATCCCGTTTCCTAAAATCAAACCCATAGAGTTGTTTTCAAGGAGGAATTCTGTTCCACCGGCTTACAGATGAGGATACAGCCCCAGGCATGACTCTGGAGCTGACTAAGTCCAAGTGATGGATGCAAGAGGTGACCCAGTTCAAGTGTAGCAAGACAAGCTGGGTACAAGAAGACAAAGGAGTAGAAGGTGGGATTGCTTCCATGGTCAAGGGATAGTCATTCATTTCACTTGTTGACTGAATCCAACAGCAGAGGTTTTTGCGAGGCCTTCTAAAGATAGAAGGAGTTTGGAAGGAGGCATGTCACCGTTTTGCAAGGCATGGGAACATATTATGGAAATGGGAAGAAGCCCTCAAAGTATATGCATGTTTGCAGTTTCTCAAGAGGGCCACAGAATTATTCATTTTCTGGACTCATCAGCAATAGTTTGTTAAAGCTTGCTTTTTCCCTTTTAGATTTTTATCTCCAACATCTGACCAGAAGTGAGGAGACTTGGTTTCTAGATTCACTCTGTTAGTCCATCACTTGTCCACTCACCAAGCCTCCTGATGCTTCCCTTCACTCTGGGCCTCCGCCTCCTGGGTGACCGAGGTGTCCTTTTGTTCTGTGCACCTAAGAATCTATGCTCATAAATCAAAATATAGCACTAGTTGCACTTTTCCTACAGGGAATGCTGAAGATGAAGCTGTGAAAACTGCAACAAATTCTCCTAGGGTGTGTGTGAGCAAGTTGTGATTCTTCCTGTTCATTGCTGGGTGTGGTTGGACAGGTATCATAGGACAACCGTCAGCATTAGACTGGCGTTCCCCAGGGAACCAGGAGTCCTTTCATGTTCAATTATTCCTACCATTTGGCTTTAACCCCTACAAGTCATCCTTTGAGAGAATGGTGTAACGTCTGGCATTGTGTGTCCAGTGGAACTGCCACAGCCCAGCCACTGGGATCCAACATTCCTGCTCTCTTCATTCAAACACTCCTTTTTTTTTCTCATGTTGATGGAAAAAAAATTTATTTATAGAGATGTATTATTTTAAAAAGCACTTGTGAGGGTACCTTATTTTGCCATGAAATAATGGGATTTTTATCTCTACCACTCATTCTGAAAAAGATTTTCTTGTGTAAATTTGGACTCCATAAGTAATCACAATGAGTGAGGAAGCATGGAGTCCACACATATACTTAAAAAGAGCATCAGGGAGAACTCTTGGTAGGTGTCAACTTTTCATCCAGGTCATCTCTATAGCCTTACTATCTTTGTGACACTACCAGCACTGGTTTCCAAAACCACTAAAGCTATGCAGATCGTCTGATTCCTAATATATTCTCACCAGGGTATCAGTGAGAAGCTAACTGCTCCCTTGTTGAGGGGACAGCTGGCTCTGTTTCAGATGGTGTAGTATCAGTAACAGAAGAACATCAGGCTGATCTGGATGTAAAGGAAGGATTTAGTTAGTCTCTTAAACAGTTCAACCTGAAATAAGTAAGGATTCAAGGAAAACTGAGGATGTGGGGCCAATTCCTAAAGATGCTTAGGGTCCAGAAAGCAAAAGGAAAATCTTTGCAGTCCTAGGTGTCTTGGAAGCATATTGATGAAAACCAAAGACCAGTTAGCTGGCATCTTCTGGGGGAAGCAAAGGGTTGAGGGAATCCTGGGCTTTGTTTTGCAGCACTGTCCAGAGTTCAATGAATGGCTTAGGGCGCTGAACAAGTTTCTTCTCTTGCCCTCAAAGAAGTGGATCTGCAGGTTCCTACAGGCAGATAACATCTTCCTCTTGAAAAAGATACTGTGCTATCCCTCTTGGTCAATGATAGAATGTAAGTAGATAGAATGTAATAGCTTAGATAGATTGTAAGCAGCTCAGCTCCTGGCGTGCCTTTGATCCTGGTAGGGATTTACACAAGAGGAGAAAGTTGGTCCCAAGCACCTTCTTCAGACACCCTATAGTTTGTTCTTGCACGGCTTACCTGGAGCTATAAAGTCTGGAGCATTGAACTCACACTCAGATTCCCCATCCAACCTACTCAGCCTCCCCTGGACTGAAGGAATCGTTATCATTTTGATGCAGAATCTTTGCTCTCACTTTCCTCCACGTTCAACGTCCCATTGTTTCCAAGCTAGAAAGCACTCTTGGCAAGGATTTGTCCACAGGGATGGACTCAGATAGTCCCCACTCCTAGCAGGTATAGTTTGAAGGGATGTCTGATATTTGAGGCCATCAGATTCATAGCTTTTTGACGGGAGGAACTGCATTTCTAATCTTTGAATTTCTGTTTCACAGTTACTGGCATAATCTTGTCAAATGAGTAAATAACTTTTTCTTCATTACATTTTCATTAGTTTCATGGGATTGTGAGAGTGGTTTTAGAAAATCAAGAGCAGATTAAATTAGGTTGTTTGATAATGATTCTCTCAATTTCTACGTCTAGGAAGTGCCTTGAACAAAATAGGCATAAGATGCACAATTGTTGATTAGTTAGTTCATTGTGACCTATATATATGTTGGGCTTTTCGAGTTTTTTCGTTATGAACCCTAGGGCTTTGTCATGTCAGTGTTATCTAATAAATCTAAACTCAGTTTTAGGAGCAAGCACAGTAACTAAATGGAACTTTGTCAATTTGATGACTTTCTTTTTCCTTATACAAACTTTTGGTGTTTGCTTGTGTGCTGCTATTTAACAGTCAAAACTCACATTTCATCTCAAATACCTTTTCTTTGCCCAGTGGGATCGCATTTCACCCAGAAATACCAAAGTTGATTTATCTCATTCGTTGTGATCCTACTGAAATATGACTTCTTAAATTTTTCATGTGTCATATGAGTATTATGACAGAGGCCAAATACATACGAATATAATGGGAACATAGTTCTACCTGAGAAAACCATTCCTAGTTTTGTGATAGAAGTCATCTGTCATCCTTTCAAGGGTTTTGCCAAAACCACTGGGATTTCCTGGCAATGTTCTGGATAATTCTTCTATCCGAAGTAATATAATTTGGGGTTATGTTAGTAACCAAATCCATTGAATTATTGCATCATGCTCTACCTCTGTCTGACATAAAGATCTCTGGAAACACACATTGTTTCTTCCCACAACTCATGTTAAAATTCTTACTTTGTTTCCTCTTTGCCGGCCATGTAGGGGGTGTGGTATATGGGCAAGCAACTTGAGGTTTGGTTTGCTTTCTACAATGTATTTTTCAACTAAGCTAATTTTAATTTCGGTAATTAAGGATTGTCAGAGCAGGATCACCCTACAAGATTAATTTTCTTTTCCCTTTAGTTTTCCTTTTTTGTATTTCTGAAAATATCTCTTAATAGTCAAATAATTTCATTTTATCAGGAAATGTGAATTTTGTCTGTGTCCACAACCTACTAGCTGTTGGACACATAGTAGTGATCAATACAAACCCAGTTTTGCTCTCCTGGCCTTGTGATCCAGCAGGAAGGCAGACTGCCAGCCTACGGTTAGGGAAACAATCCACGCTTCAGTCGAAGATTTCATATGTTTGACTGAGAATTCTATTAAAAATATATCTGTTTGCAAGGTGCTGAAGCCGGTAGGCAATGCTTCAATTCTTAAGTTAAATATATGTAAAGGGTTTGCTTAGTTCTCCATTTGTTTGGTTTTCAATCATTTGTGTATACATAAGAGTTTAGTGACCTGCTGGATGGTGGGTAGCAGTCATTTCTGGTCAGATTCCAGGAAGATGAAAATCAAAGCCCAAGCCCCGACCTAGGAGCATAATAATGCTCTCACACATATTCAAGAAAGCGAGAAAGCAGGGCCAACTGATGCAAGCCCTTTGTTCTTCAGGTTGTCGGAAGCTCAGGTAAAAAACCATTGCCAAGGGGCTTCATGTCTGATGTGTGTGGCCATGACTTCAAGGTCAATATCCCGCCACTCAAGGGACCTTCCACGTAATTCTTCCTGTCATCTCTTCCATCACTCACACTGCCTAGCCTTGGCCAGGAACTTAGATTGCTCAGTTCCGAATGTCAGGGCCATGCTTCCATCCTCACTGCATTGTGAGCCTGCTGCAGTTTGTTGACGTGGGTTGAAACAAATCTAAGTAGCTCCTCTCCAGCATAGCGTAGGGCCCCTGCATTATGTAGTGATGGAACTGCCAACCAGGTCTCTGCCACAGCACAATGGTTCTTGATAAGCCTGTGAAGAGCATTCGTGGTAGATGCCTGCAGACATTTATTTAGGATATTTTGATTGGCTTCCTGGTCCCCATGGCAACCACCCACAGCTAGGTGAAGAGAGTGAGCCGGTAATACTGCGGTATGGTTATCTACCTAATTCAGCCCCAGCCTAACAGAAACCTTTTCCAGTAAAGTTTGTCAGAGTGTGGTAACATCTCATGTGACACCACAGAGTGCCTTGTGTTTCATATGAACACATAGAGTAAGTCAGTGGTCTCCAGGCCATTTGTTTACTCTTTAGTCTCATGGCTGTATATTGCTTTATCATTTTCATTTAAAAAAATTGGAGGAGTAAAATTCTGGATTCTTCCTGTTTGTATGGTAATAGGTGTTATAGATTGATCGTACTGGTTTCTTCCGAATCCAGGTTGCAACTCGTTTAGTGAACATGTTTGGCGATAAAAGCAGACATCCCGCTCCTACCAGATAAACTGCAGGGAGTGCTTTCCACATAACTGAGTTCCAGAGTTTTGGCACAGCTTCTGGGTCCTGATATGTGAAAGGTAGCGTGTTGTGGTGAGAAGAGACCAGTGCTGGGAGGGAGTCAGCTGACAGGATTGACACAAGATGACAGAGCAGTTCTTATGCTCACTTCACCTGAGCAGAAGAGCTCTGTCATTTTTAAGAAACGAAGACATGGAGCAGGAAATTTCTGTGTGCCCTCTTGAATCCAATCTAGATGGATATTTTGTCCGTTAAGTGTCCTGGGGGAAAATGTGAGTTTGAAACTCATTTTGAAAACATTGAAGTTAGCTCCTGCCCTGAGAGGCACCCCACTTCTGATAAATTTTATTGTCTTTGGCTACATAAATAGGGAACTATTTTAGCTTGCTTGTGTGATTGTGTATGTGTGTTTTCTCCCTGGCAATTCATAACTCATCCAAAATGCTCTATATGGGTTACTGCCACCTTTGACAAATGAGGAAACTGAGGCACGATACAAAAAAAAAATATGAAGTCCCTTTGAGAGCCTTCAAATGGTTTTGACAGTTTGCCTTAACAATCGAATTTTGTAACCGCTTGGTTTCAGCAACTATCTCACTCCTTTCCTCCTATTAGTTCAGTGGGCAGCCTCATTAGTACGCGACATGTTTTTTTGTTTTTTGTTTTTTGTTTTTTTTTTTTTTTTGGAGAAAATGATTTCCTTGCTTTAGGAAAAGAGCGAACAACTGGAATATTTCACACAAAGGGGCAGTGATCCTAGAAAGAAACAACTCTCTTTGCTTTACCAAACCAAAACCCCAAACCCGCCAACCAAACAGAAGAACAGACGGCTCGTCAACAATTTCTCCCTGTTCTGGTCCAATCGTGATTAGAAGTAAGAACAGCAGATAAGTGTGTATCCTAGAGGAGATTAGCGGTACCATTTCTATAGTGTCAAGTCATGCAAAGCATGCTGGAAAGGGGAGGGAGAAGGCCAGGAGAAGCCCCTCCTTGGTGGGGCCACCTCGCACTAGCATGCATTTGATGCAGCCACTGGCGTCCCCTCCGGGAAGCGTAGGGTGAGAGAGCGAACTATACAAAGTGTGTCTACGTTACAGGAGGAGTCAGCCAGTGACCCCTTTCAGACGGGCTTGTTGGAAGGGGTCCATATCGAGTCGGAAATCCCGTCCCCTGTGGACGACAGAGGCATGGAGCCACTGGGCGTAAAGGGGTCTGTGTCTGTGTCCGTCTCACCCTCCGCGAGGTACCGCTTCTCCCGCATCCAGCTCGACCCCGCGCTGGGGCCGAATGCGTACTCGTCTCTGTCTTGGGAGATGCTGAAGCCACTGGGCGACCGCTCCAGCTCCTCATGGTTGAGTGACATCAGCGACAGAGGTGTGTCGCTGTCCCGGGTGATGCTGCGCCCATGGTGGGGGGAGATGTGGTCCGAATAGGGGCCCTGCAGTTCAGCCTGGGAGTGGTAGCTCACTCGGGAGTCGAGAAGAGTCAAGATGGGCAGGACGGTGGGCCTTTCTGCATACGTGGCTGCCGACGAAGGAAGGGTTGTCGGAACCTTGGCAGAACTGGGTCCCCCGCGGGGCAGGTTCACTTGGTCATGTGCAAAAAACCCATAGGGGCCGACTTTGTCGACGGGCACCTGGTGCAAGCTGTAGGGAGGCTCAGGGGGGCCTGTCTCAGAATAGCTGCAGATGATGGTTTTCAAATCAGAATACCTGTTGTCCTCCTGCTTCTCCACCTCAACGGGCGAGGAGGTCCCCTTGGTCGGGTAATACTCCGTGACGTGCACCTGCAGCCGTTCCATATGCTGCATGTGCATGTCCACGAGGAAATCCAGCTTTCTCCCCATGTCGTGCACCTGCAGATTACAAGGGAGCAGAAATTACTGCTTTCTCAGGGTGTGGGGGTCATTGGTGCTGGCTGGGAGGAAATACTATGTGCCATTCAAAGGGGAAGAGAATTCTTGCAAGTCTTAATAACGAGAATAGCAGCTGAGCATTTATCTTGTGTCCCTAGGCGAGGGATTTCTAGAAGCAGACAGATAAAGTGTTTCAGACCTTCTTGGTCCCACACAGCTGGAGGTGTCCTTGCTTATGCTGCTTGAGTGAAGGAGTGGGAGTCCTTGATTTGCAAATGTGTCCTTAGAATCACATGGGTTGTTAGCATAGGTTTCTGCTACATGGTGATGTAAGCCCTGAAGATGAGTGGAGAGTGCTTAGCAAGAATTGAGCTGCTCAGAGCTGGAGACCCCACCTCAAATCCTTGGGGGACAGTGGAGGCTACATCCACTCCTGCATAAATTGGAGCTTGAATTTTTCTGAATGCATACATGTGATTGTGTGTGTGCATGTGTGTGCGTGTACATGTGTGCTTGAGTATGTGTGTGAAGTCCTTGCTCTAATTCACAACTCATCAGGAAACTCTGCAGGCCAGTGTATCATCCCATTTAATAGATGTGAGCCACAGCACCAGATTATACTAACTTACAGAGGAGTTAGCAGCTGACTTTTTTTTTTTTTTTTTTGACAGGCAGAGTGGACAGTGAGAGAGACAGAGAGAAAGGTCTTCCTTTGCCATTGGTTCACCCTCCAATGGCCGCCGCGGCCGGCGCACCGCGCTGATCCGATGGCAGGAGCCAGGAGCCAGGTGCTTTTCCTGGTCTCCCATGGGGTGCAGGGCCCAAGCACCTGGGCCATCCTCCACTGCACTCCCTGGCCACATCAGAGAGCTGGCCTGGAAGAGGGGCAACCGGGACAGAATCCGGCGCCCCGACCGGGACTAGAACCCGGTGTGCCGGCGCCGCTAGGCGGAGGATTAGCCTAGTGAGCCACAGCGCCGGCCCGCAGCTGACTTTTATGCACCTTGTTACCTCACTCACTTTTCACAACAACCCTCCGAGGTGGATACTGTTACTATCTTTATTTCAGGGGTGAGGACACAGAGGCACAAAGAGATGATGTAATTTGTCAAAGGTCACAGAACTGGTACACAGAAGCACTCTGATTATAAATTAGAATGTAAAATTGGAAAATGATATTCCTTATATAGCAAAAAGAATTATCACTGAAGTTTTCTCTCTGCTGTCAAGCACAAATTCAATTTTGGGTTATAAGTAAACTTAAAGGATTGGCACAGATCCTGGGGAAAACTGGTGTAAAGTTAGGCAAACAATGCTGGAACCCAAGCTGCTTTCCCAGGGAGGCAAGAAGTAAACTACATGGGGTGCTGTGACCAGCGAGAAAAACCTCACCCACAGCTAGCTCTCCTCCAGGTCTCTGCACACCAGCATCCCTGATCTAGACTTTGAGCAAAGGAGGAGACTCATGATATCAAAAGAGGGTGTGTGGAACGAACATTTCTCCAGGGACCCTCTTGAAGTGGGCATAGTCCCACTGAGTGTTCACAGTGTGCCAGCAAGGATCACAAGTAATTCACATGTGTCAACTCAGCCATCATAACTGTAGGTATTAACATCTATATATTATGGATGATGACAACTGAGACTCAGAACAATGAATTAACTATTAAGTGAATACCCTGCTAATACAAGTTCAATCAAGGCATTACTTCTCACATCCTTTTTGAGTGGTAGATGGTATTACCTAAGTATCTTCCTCCCTCTGGGGGAAAAAAAAAGACACTTGAAAATAAACTCAATACCCTTGCTTTCTGGGATTGGAAAGAAAAGACTTACCTGTCTTTCAACTTTTACGAATTTTCCCATCATGCTTTGGTCTTCAATTTCTGATGTGGATGCTCTGGCTACATATGGTTCATTCCTAAGAAAAAAACCAACAATTCCACAAGATCATTATAGCTATTTTTGCTTTGTGAGGTCATTCCAGCTAGGCAGTCCATGGCCATGGAGCCATAACTCTTATTCTCTCAATTACACAACCTGTGAGAGGCTGATCCAACTCCAGGGACATAGGCAAGTTGCAAAAATCCAAACTTTTCCAGCCTCCAACATGGTATCTCATGCCTGCCTTCTCACTATAGGAAAAAGTGAAGCCAAACATTAACCTGTTGTTACGGTGGCTTTGCCATGTGTTCAAGTTAAGAACAGTCCTGATGGTGTCTCTATAGAGTGTTTAGTCCCTCTACACCCCTCTTGCAGTCTCCAACTGCAGGTGGAGGGCTTCTATTCTGAGCATATGTGAGTGTGTACATGGGGAGAGGGTGGCGGAGGGGAAGGGAGGCACTATGGTAACTCTGAAACAATGTGCAGTGGGTGTAAGCATTTCACCTGGCTCATTTTGTGGAGAATGGAAAACAAACGTGACTCTGGAAAGCCACACCAGGAGAGTGCCTGTGGGGAATGAGATTGAGCTGTGGCTGCCTCGGCTCTCTGGTTCTACACTGTTAGCGTCTGCCAAATTCCAGTTGGCTTCAATATTTCTGTGTTTGAGGCAGATAAGAACCTTCCGGGGGGATACCTGTTCAAGATCATTCATGTTAACCACTTTCTCCCTAGCTGAGTTTCTCTCATCAGCTACTGACTCCTGCTAAGTCCCTGTCCTGTCCTTGGCTGAGTGGTCTTGAATTACAGCACCGGTCAAACACCTGTGGCTCATGTGCTAAAGCCAGTCTTCAGTGTTTCCCTTGTCCTATTCATGACTGTAAAACATTGCAGACAACCTTGAGATGGGGCATTTTACATAAAATCTGGATATTCAACTTTTCTTGAAAAATTGGGCTATATGGAAACAGGATTTTCATGCTTAAAATGGCAACGGAATAGAAAGCAATTCACTTCTTTAGAGGGAACTCTTGGAAGTTCTCTTGGACTTCATGACCCCACCATTCCCTATTCCATCCCAAGACCAAGGCTAAAGACTAGATGTATCTTATTACCATGCTTTTTATCTTCTTTATAAGAGGAAGGTATATAACATATCTTAGGCCCGACTCCTTCATTTATTTATGTTAGCTGCCTTGAAGACATTTGTAAAGAAAGAGAAACTCTGGCAGTGACTGTCTAAAGGACACTTCCTTTAAATGATTTTTCAATTGAAGCAAATGTTCCCTATCTCAGGGGCCTGATATCTGATTGCTTCTCTGGCTTTGTTCTGGGGAGGGGAAAGGGGAGGTATCAGTCAATCTGAGGACTGTGCAGGAGAGGCCAAACCAGCTGACCAAGAGTTCATGAACTTGGCTAACATGAAGTATTCTTCCCATTCCAATAAAACTCATGTCTCCTCTCCTCTTGTTTAAGAACAAGGAAACCAGTGGGCTATTAAAAAAATAGAAAAGAGTGTGATCCAAATGGTCTGGAAAGAGGAGTGGGAAATCTTTTGTACAGAAACCCTTTGAGGGCAACAACCTTCAAACTCTTTCCCTCCATGTTAATTAGGGAAGCGGCAACTTCACCCACACACAGGACCCAAGCTGAGCTCTGAGGGAGAGAGGACCCTTCAGCAGCTTTGCTCCACATAGCCCAGGGGTCCATGCCCGTAGCCCCACCTGGGAGATTGCTGGGATGGGTAGGTGAATGCTGGCCCTTTCTGAGACTTCTTATGTTTTGGAGTGGATGGTGGTCCAGGGGTGAAAATCATATCGATTCTGAAAGAAACAAATAAAGGAGGAATTAAATTACACAGAGCTTTGTTTTGGCAGGAAAACACATTATTCTGTTCTCTCTTAAATCAGATATGGGTTTGGAATATGCAGGAGTTAGGCAAGAGAGGGAGGAAGGAAAAGAGCACCATCATTTTTATGGTCTGCCTGTGCTGACAGCATCTTCCCATCCCGGGGAGAGGTTGTGTCTCCTTGTTTCACCTGGGACACGTCACCTGTGTGCGGCAAGCCTATCACCCACAGCTTTTAACCGTCCCTCCTCCAACAGCTAGTGAGGGAGCATTACCGCCCAATGCTGGGCTCCGTCTTCAGCCACGCACAGCCCTGCTGCTCAGGCACAAGGAGTATGGGTCCACCTATGCCTCCCACCTGCTTCCACTTCTGCATGAGGTATCAGCAAGCCCGCTGAGCCAGGATCCACAGGAGAGAAACGTTTCCATTGCACTTCGGGGCTGAGGCGGGAGTCGAGTGGGAGCAGGCCCATTAAGACCGTGCCCCCAGACACAGCCATGGTGGCTCCGTGTCTTCTCTGGACAGCCAGCTGCTCCTCCTCCAAGCAAAGCCATAAACATTCTCAGTGCCAACCACACAGTGTCATTCGATTCCCACCTGTTTGGTGTGATGCTCCTGTTAACTATGCAGGGAACTCCAGGGATGATACATTGTTTACACAGGAAGCTGAGGTCCAGCAAGGACTAGTGTCAATGAAATCTCAACACACATCAGACAATCAGCTGCAAATAGGAATTTGGTTTCCTGGCTGTTATTCCATGAGTCTTGACAGCATACTGTCTTCTGATTTTTTGAGGGGAGGTGTTTTTTAAGTTTTGTTTACTTGAAAATGGAATCAGGGAAACTTTTCAGAGGACTTTAGCTTTTCCTGTCAAAAGCTTCTATTGGATTTACCTGCTTGAATTCCAGACAACTATATCCTCTATTTCTACCTCCACTCCTGGTATTTACCATTTTAATGGGCAAATCTTTGGTGGAAGTCACTAAATAATGTCCATTAAATGGGAAAAAATGTGTCTTTTGCAATGCCACTTTTTTAAAGAAGGCTTTTATTTAATGAACACAAATTTCACAGGTACAGCTTTAGGAATATAGTACAAAGTATAAAGTACTGTTTGAGAACAAGTTTTACAGTTAATCCTCATAGTACAACTCATTAAGGACAGAGGTCCTACATGGGGAGTGAGTGCACAGTGACTCCTGTTGTTAACTTAACAATATTCTTATTTTTTATGTCAGTGATCATCCGAGGCTCTTGACATGAGCTGCCAAGGCTATGGAAGCCTTTTGAGTTCACATACTCCATAAGTATTTAGACATAGCCATAAGCAAAGTGGAAGTTCTCTCCTCCCTTCAGAGAAAAGTACATCCTTCTTTGATGGCCCCTTCTTTCCACTGGGGTCTCACACACAGAGATCCTTCATGTAGAACATTTTGTGCCACAGTGTCTTGGCTTTGCATGCCTGAAATGCTCTCCTGGGCTTTTCAGCCAGATTTGAATGCCTTAGTGGCTGCTTCTGAGGTCAGAGTGCTGTTTAGGGTGTTTGTCATTCTATGAGTCTGCTGTATGGACTGCTTCCCATGTTGAAACATTCTCTCCATTTTAATTCTATCTATTGTTATTACCAGACACTTGGTCTTATTTACGTGACCCTTTTGACTTAATCTGATTTATATGATAAATTACACACTTTATATGATTATGTTAACAAATAATATGGTATCAGTACCACCCAGCTTAATGGGATTTGGAGTCTCATGGCAAGTTTTAGCTTACCCTTTAGGGGTAAGTTCATAGGAATGTGTACTGTAGATCTACTCCCTCTCTTATTCCCACTCTTATTTTTCTTAAAGAATTTATTTATTTGAAAGTCAGAGTTACACAGAGAGAGATGTGAGGCAGAGAGAGTGAGAAAGGGGTCTTCCATCTGCTGGTTCATTCCTCAACAGGCTGCAATGGCCAGAGCTGTGCTGATCCGAAGCCAGGAGCCAGGAGCTTCTTCCAGGTCTCCCATATGGGTGCAGGGGCCCAAGGACCTGGACCATCTTCCACTGCTTTCCCAGGCCATAGCAGAGAGTTGGATTGGAAGTAGAGCAGCCAGTTCTTGAACCGGTGCCCATATGGGATGCCGGCACTTCAGGCCAGAGTGTTAACCCACTGAACCACAGCACTGGCCCCCCTACTCTTATTTTTTACTGGGATCTATTTTCAATTGACTTAATATATCTATGATTCCATGTTAAGAGTTGAAACAATGGTATTAAATAGAAAAAAATAAAATAATAAACTTCCTTGACAGTCAAGACAAGAGGTGTTCATGTCATTGCTTCTCATAGTATCAATTTCACATCCATAGGTTTCCTTTTAGGTGCTCTGTTATCACAGATCAAGGAGAACATAGGGTATTTGTCCCTTTGGGACTGGATTATTTCATTAAGTATGATGATTTCCAGATTTATCCATTTTGTTGCAAATGACTGGATTTCATTTTTTCTTTTACTGCTGTATTGTATTCTATAGAGTACATCTCATAATTTCTTTATCCAGTCTACTGTTGATGGGCATTTAGGTTTATTCCATGTCTTAGCTATTGTGAATTGAGCCGCAATAAACATGGAGGTGCAGACAGCTCTTTTATTTGCTGATGTCATTTCCCTTGGGTAAATTCTGAGGCATGGGATGGCTGGATCGTATGGTAGGAGTATATTAAAATTTACAGGGGTATCTCCAAACTGTCTCCCATAGTGGTTTTACCAGTTTGCATTCCCACCAACAGTGGTTAGGGTACCTTTTTCCCCACAGCCTCAGGAGCATTTGTTGTTTGTTGATTTCTGTATGAAAGCCATTCTAACTGGGTTGAGGTAAAACCTCATTGTGATTTTGATTTGCATTTCCCTGACAGCTAGTGATCCTCAGCATTTTTTCATGTGTCTGTTGACCATTTGGATTTCCTCTTTGAAGAAATGTCTGTTTAGGTCCTTTGCCCATTTCTTGATTGGGTTGTTTGTTTTGTTGTTGTGGAGTTTTTTGATCACTTTTTATATTCTAGTTATTAACTCTTTATCAGTTGCATGGTTTGCAGATAATTTCTCCCAATCTGTCAATTGCCTCTTTACTTTCCTGTTTATTTTGCAGTAGTGAAGCTTCTCAATTTGATGTAATCCCATTTGTTAATTCCGACAAAGACCTGTGCCTCTGGGGTTGTTTCCAGGAACTCATTGCCTGTGCCAGTGTCTTTCAGGGTTTTCTTAATGCTAATAATTTGATGGTATCAGGCCATAGATTTAGGTCTTTAATCCATTTTGAATGAATTTTTGTGTAAGGTATAAGGTAGGGGTCCTGCTTCATACTTCTGTATGTGGAAATCCAGTTTTCCCAGCATGGTCTTTGCTCCAGGGAATGGTTTTAGTTCCCTGGTCAAATATAAGTTGGCTGCAGATGCTTGGATGATTTCTGGCATTTCTGTTCCATTCCATTGGTCTATCCAAATGTTTTCGTATCAGTACCAGGCTGTTTTGATTATAACTAGCTTGAAGCATGTCTTGAAATCTGGTATTGTGATGCCTCTGGGTTGGTATTTGTTGTATAATATTGTTGTAGCTATTTGAGGTCGCCTGTGTTTGCAAATAAATTTCAGCATCATTTTTTGTAGTTATGAGAAGAATGTCTTTGGTATTTTGATTGGTATTGCATTGAATTTGTAAAGTATTTTCAGAAGAATGAACATTTTGATGATATTGATGGATCATTAATGGAAAAAATCCATGAATATGGACATCTTCATTTTTTTGTGTCTTCTATTTCTTTTTTTTTAAGTTTTGAAATTCTCATAGTAAGAGATCTTTGACATTCTTCGTCAAATTTATTCCAAGGTATTTGACTTCTTTTTTTTTTTTTGTAGCTATTGTGAATAGGATTGATCTTGGAAGTTCTTTCTCAGCTGTGGCATTGTCTCTGTATACAAAGGCTGTTATTTCTTGTGTGTTAATTTTATATCCTGCTATTTTACCAAATTCTTCTATGAGTTCCTATAATCTTAGTGGAGTCCTTTGGGTCTCTAATATGTAGTTTCCTATCATCTGCAAATAGAGATAGTTTGACTTCATCTTTATTGATTGGAATCTCTTTGATTTCTTTTTCTTGAATGATGGCTCTGGCTAAAACTTCCAGGACTATATTGAATAGCAGTGGTGAGAGTGGGCATCCTTGTCTGGTTTCAGATCTCAGTGGGAATTCTTCCAAGTTTTCCCCATTCAATAGGATGTTGGCCATGGGTTTGTCATAAATTGCCTTGATCATATTAAGGAATGTTAATTCTAAACTCAATTTGCTTAGAGTTTTCATCATGAACTGGTATTTTTTTTGTCAAATGCTTTCACTTTATCTATTGAGATAATCATATTTTTTGTTCTGCAATTTGTTAATGTGATATATCATACTGGTTGATTTACAAATGTTGAACCATCCCTGCATACCAGGGATAAATTTGACTTGGTCTGGGTGAATGATATTTTTGATGTGCTGTTGGATTCGATTGGGCAGAATTTTGTTGAGGATTTTTGGACTATGTTCATCAGGGAAAGTGGTCTGTAGTTTTCTTTCTCTGTTGCATCTTTTCCAGATTTAGGAATTAAGGTTATGCTGGCATCACAGAATTTGGGAGGATTCCCTCCCTTTCAATTGTTTTGAATAACTTGAGAAGAATTGAAGTTCTTTAAATGTCTGGTAGAATTCAGCAGTGAAGCCATCCTGTCCTGGGATTTTCTTTGTTGCAAGTGTCTTTATTACTGATTCAATTTCTGTCTTGGTCATTGGTCTATTTAGGTTTTCTATGTCTTCATGACTCAGTTTAGATAGGTTGTATGTGACTAGGAATCTATCCATTTCTTCTAGTTTTCCCAGTTTGTTGGCATACAGCTCTTTGTAGTAATTTCTGATGATTCTTTTTATTTCTGTGGTTTCTGTTGTTACATTTCCCCTTTCATCTCTAATTTTATTGATTTGGGTCTTTTCTCTCCTTTTTTTGGTTAGTTGGGTCAATCTTGTGTCAATTTTATTTTTTCAAAAAAACCAGCTCTTCATTTTTCTGAGCTTTTGTATTTTTTTTTTTGGTTTCAATTTTGTTGATTTATTCTCTAATTTAATTATTTCTTTCCTTCTACTGGTTTTTGGTTTGGTTTGCTATTGTTTTTCTAGATCCTTGAGGTGCCCAGATCATTTATTTGGTGCCTTTCCAGTTTCTTGATACAGGCACCGATTGCTATAAACTTTCCTCTTAACATGGTTTACACTGTATCCCACAACTTTTGGTACATTGTATTGTCATCTTCATTTGTTTCCAGAAATATTTTGATTTTTCTTTTGATTTCTTCCGTGACCCTTCATTCAAGAGCATGTTGTTCATTCTCCATGTGTTTACATATGATGTAGAAATTCTTGAGTTGTTAATTTCCAGCTTCATTGAATTGTGGTCTGAGAAGATACATGGTATGGTTTTGATTTTTTTTTTAATTTGGTGAGACTTGCTTTATGGCCTTGCATATGGTCAATCCTAGAGAAAGTTCCATGTACCAGAAAAAAAAAAAATGTGTATTCTGTGGCTGTATGGTGGAAGGCTCTCTAGATCTGCTAGATTTGGTCTATGGTGTTGATTAACTCTGCTGTTCCCTTGTTTATTTTCTGTCTTGTTGATCTGTCCATTGCTGAAAGTGGGATATTAAAGTCTCCTATTACTATTGTATTTGAGTCTATGTCTCAATTTAAATCCTTTAACCTTTCTTTTAAATAGCCAAGTGTCCTGTAACTAGGTGCATATACATTTATAATAGTCACATCTTCCTGTTGAATAGTGTCCTTCTTTGTCTCTGAAGAGTTGTTGTGTCAAAGTCTATTTTGTCTGATATTAGGATGGCCACACCAGCTCTTTTTGGTTTCTGTTAGCATGGATTATCTTTTTCCAACCTTTCACTTTCAGTCTTTGTCTGCATCTTTGTTGGTGAGATGGGCTTCTTGTAGGCAGCAAATATATTGGTTTTCTTTGTTAATCTATTCAGCCAATCAGTGTCTTTTAACTGGGTAGTTCAGACCATTTACACTCAGTGTGACTACTGTTAGGTACCGACTTTGCCCTGCCATGTTTCTGTAAGTAGTTCTGTTTTCGTATTTTGGGTCATTGTGTAAATAGTTCTGTTTTTGTATTTTGGGTCATTTTCTGTCTTTTTTTGTATTTTGAGTAATTTTCTGCATTCATCTACTTTTGCAGTGATGTTCCTGTTCCTGTGTTGCTGTGTGTAGCACATCCTTGAGCATCTTTTGTAGGGCTGGGTGAGTAGTTATACATTCTTTCAATTTCTGTTTGTTGTGGAAGATCCTTGTTTCTTCTTCATTTATGAGAGTTTTGCAGGGTACAGTATTCTGGGTTGACAGTTTTTTTCTCTTAGGACTTGGAATATGTCTCACCATTCTCTCCTTTTCTGTAGCATTTGGGATGAGAAGTCTGGAGTGAGTCTAATTGGGTTTCCTCTGAATGTGATTTGTCGTTTCTCACGTGCACATTTTAAGATCTTTTCTTTATGTGTTATCGAGGAGAGCTTTGCTACAATGTGTCAAGGTGAAGATCTTTTCTGGTCTTGTCTATTGCAAGCTCTGTGTTCATCCTGTGCCTGGATGTCTCTTTCTTTTTCCAGATTGAGGAATTTCTCTGTTACTATCACTTTCTCTCTTTTTATGCCTTCTGGAATTCCTAGGATTCATATGTTGGGTCATTTGTTATAATTTTGCAGATCCCCAACTGTGTTTTTTAATTTCCTAATTTCTTCTTCTTATGTTTGGTCTGACTGTGTTAGTTCCAGAAATTTGTCTTCTAGTTATGATATTCTTTCTTCTGTCTCATTTATTCCATTGTTAAGGCTGTCTACTGCCTTTTTTATTTGATCTATTGAATTCTTCATTTCTAATATTTCATTCTGACTTCTCTTTAACATCTCAATTTCTTGGGAACACTTTTCATTTAGGTCATGAATTTGTTTCTGAATTCTTCTAAGTAATCTGACAATTAATTTTCTAATTTCCGTTTCTGGCATATCCTCGATTTCTTCTTCAAATTCTATTATTGAAGAAGAGTTGTAGTGTTCCTTTAGGGGGCTCATACTGTCTTCCTTATTCTTATTAAGGTTGTTTCCTTTGTTTTTTTTTTTGGCATTTCTGGTTGTTTTTCTGTTTAATATGTATCTTGGTGCTTGTGAGATTTCTCTCTGCTATGAGTAGCTATGTATCTGGTGTTGTAAGTGGAAGCATGCAGCCCTGCCCCTGGGAGTCCTGCTCCCATCTCAGTAGCGATTGGGATAGGCAGGAGAGTGCTGGTGCACTAAGCCCTGCCTATGGGGGCCAGGCCTGCTTCTCACTTCTTGTGAAATAAGCTCAGGATTTCGATATTTAGGACTTCTCCTTATTGTACAGCTTGTGTGGTGGCAGGGGGAATCACTCTGAAATGTTGTGATCCTCCTTCCTGCATATGAAGTGGCCCCCACAATTGATGGGCATGTGCAGGGGAGGCAAATGCAGTAGCCCCCTGCTTACATTCGAAGACGTAAACAAATAATATGGCTTCTCCCAGCAGGCTGCAGGTCCATTTGGGGGGAGGTAGGAGACACAGATGGACAGGGCATGCCCAACTGCTCCATTTGTTCCCCTATTCTTCCTGCTAGGAACTTCAAATGCAGTTCTCCAGACCCCCCTGCCGCTGTTCTCTGCAGCTCTGTGGACCTGTGACCTCGCATCTCACCTGGTCTGCTGGAGGGAGTGGCATCAATCTCTCTGTTTGGCTTCTCTGCTGTGCCTCCGGCACTTTTTGCTCCCTCTGCGTGGACCTACTCAGTCTCTGTTGGACTCCTGGACTTCTCTCTGTGAAATTCTCATGGCTCTGTTGCTGGCTTGTATCCCCTTTCCTTATTAACTATCTATTTTGCCTTACGTGACTTGGAACGTCCTGTTTCTATACTGCCTCTTAGCCCCTCTTCCCAGTGCATACCATTTTAATCAGAGCAGGTACCATTGTTTCCTCAACAATTCCCTTAGAACAGGGAATTTGTAACCCACCAGACCTAGTTTGATTCCCAGTTCTGCTGCCAATGAACTTGGTAATTTGGGGTAAATGCTTTACCTCTCAGCTTCAGTTTCTCAGAAAAATGTCACTTATAATGCAATACATACCTTACAGGGTTACAAGTGATGCCACACACACACAGCACCCAGGTGCTCAGTACAATGGTAGCAATTGATTCTTGGGCACTAATGCTGTTCCCATGTATTCACAATTATAAACAACACACAGAAGTTTTAATAACATAGAATTTATATTTAGAATGAGCCAGTTGAACTCTTGGGATGATCTTGATTTTGCTGGCAACATGCAAGGCCATGGGGCCAGGAGACAGTGGAACACACGCTGGCTCCTCTCCATCAGGCCTGATCCAGGAGCTGACTTTGACCACGTCAAGGTCACAGAACTTCTTCCCTCACTGTTTGCTTGGTGCTTGGTGGCCTCGAGATCCCCCCATGTTTTATGAACATTTTGTGCTTAAAATCTCTCCCGGGCTGGCGCCGTGGCTCACTAGGCTAATCCTCCGCCTAGCGGCGCCAGCAAACCGGGTTCTAGTCCCGGTCGGGGTGCCGGATTCTGTCCCGGTTGCCCCTCTTCCAGGCCAGCTCTCTGCTATGGCCCGGGAGTGCAGTGGAGGATGGCCCAAGTCCTTGGGCCCTGCACCCACATGGGAGACCAGGAGAAGCACCTGGCTCCTGGCTTTGGATCAGTGCAATGCGCTGGCCGCAGCGCGGCGGCCATTGGAGGGTGAACCAAGGGCAAAGGAAGACCTTTCTCTCTGTCTCTCTCACTGTCCACTCTGCCTGTCAAAAAAAAAAAAAAAATCTCTCCCCTGAAGTTTGGACTATTTCTGTGTGCCTTTGAAAAGAAGATTTATTCATTTAGCTATTTGAAAGGCAGACTGAGAAAGAGGGGAGAGAGACAGAATCTGCCATCTGCTGGTTCACTGCCCCAACAGCTGCAATAACCAGGTCTGGGCCAGGCTGAAGCTAGGAGCCAGAATTCCCACCCTGATCTCTTCAGGTGGGTGACAGGTGCCCACATATTTGGGCCATTTTCTGCTGCCTTGCTAGGTGCATTAGCAGGAAGCCGTACCAGAGGTGCAGCAGTGCCGGCATTGCAAGCAGTGGCTCCACCTGCTGCACCACACTGCCAGCCCCGAGTGCCTTCCACGTGCAACTCTAACATCCACGCGGCTCTGATGTGCCGAGTGTTAAGGACAGCCTGGCCCCTCCAGATGGCCCCGTCTTACCTCGTCTGCAGGTACTTTATTCTGGAAAGCATGTCGAGATGCCCCGCAGAATACTGCTCGATCACATCCTTCACGTCATAAGGCCTCAACGTCTCCTTGAACTTCTTCTTATAGAGACGGAACTGGAGAATTCTGCAAGGCAAAGTGGAGCTAAGGTTTGTCATGGCTAGAGAGGGAAGGGAACTCTCACATGAGGCTGCCCACTTCAGGGGCAGGAGGAGAAAGGAATGAGAGAGGAAACAGCAGGATAACTTCCAACTCTTGGTCCTGGTGCTACCCCTTCCAACCTCAGAGAATTAGGCTGGCTCGTATGGACCCTTCATGACTAAGAAAACCACAGTACTGATGATAAGAGCTAATATTCACTAGCATTCCTTCCATGCTGGATGCTGTGCTATGTGCCTTATGCACAGTCCTGCTTAAAACTCAAGTCACAGATGATGTCACTGTGGCTCAGAGAAGGGCAGCCTGTCCCCAGGTCACAAAGCCCAGGTTGTCAGGGCTGGTCCTCAGTCCCAGGTCTGCGTGCTCCAAAGGCAAGATCCTGTCTTCATCACTGTCACACTGCTCTGTATCGGAGGGAAGCTCTTCTCTCTCCTCTGGAACAGCCTCTTCACATCTTTAGCTTGAGCTCCTAGAAAGCAAAGGCTGGGTTCTGTCCCTTGAGGTTTTGCAGGTTCCTTATAAAGTAGGGTGCCCAAAACTGGTTAGATGAAGTCAAACCCTCGTCTCCTCTCCAGCTTCCTGGAAACCACCAAATCTTCCTCGATGGTTAATGTTCCTGGAGAATAGTTTCAATCAAAATCCCCAGTCTGCTTAGGTCCTGCTTTCTAATAGTTGCATGGCTTTTTTTTTTTTTTAAATGGCACACTCAAAGTTAATTTTGTCATAACCCATGGCTCCAGTTTCCAAACACTATTTTAGCATATTGGTTACAACATTCAATTTACTTGCTATCCTTCCAAATTTGATATCATTTTATAAGCCTGCTCCTTATGTTGTTTCATTTAAGATAAAGTCAATAAATCATGGCTCCCAGGCCAGACCTGACCCACGCTGTCTGCTTTTAAAAGGAAAGATATATTGGGCTCCAACCACACTCATTGCTGCACCGTCTATGGCTGCTTCTGTGCTACTGTGGAGGAGCTGAATTCTTGCAACAGAAACCTTTGGACCACAAAGCACAAAATATTTACTATGTGGCTCTTGATGGAAAATGTTTGAATTAAGGTATTAATAAAATGCTTTGGAGACCACATCATGGAGCATCTTAGCAGGCACCTCCCTCTAGGGCAACACAGGTTCCTTCGCTGGTTTCCTTTCAGTCAGATCACTCAGTTATGAATCCATGCAGTTCTGTTCTCATAATGGATCATGAGAAACCATAACGTAGGCTGTGCTGAGGGCCAGGTATCACAACACTGTTGTGCTCCCCTGGTCTGCTCACAGGAAATGTTGCAGAATATATGATGACTAGTGTTTGCAGGATGCTACCTAGCTTTTAGAGCTCACCACATCTTTATAAAGTACAGGCGTGAACATATCTCAACAATGTTCAATGTTTACTTGAGTAGTAGCATATTTTTTTAAAAAATACTTTCTTGCAGAATTCCAAAGCAAAATAGAAATAGGGTAGATTATGCTCTCCTCTCATACAGACACAAAATCTGTGATTTACTGTGTTAACTTGATGAAAACAAACCATTATGGATGAAGATAGGAGAAGAGCTATTTTCAGTGAGAAGTTTATGATGAAGACCTCCGTGCAGGTACACCCCCCACCCTGACACCCTTCACACTGAACGGTTAATCCTGGGGGGGGGGGTGCTGTGAGGAGCGCTGTAGAAGCACTCTGCTACCAAAGCAAGGAGGAGCTGCCAGCAGGACTTGTTACAGTAGGGGTCATCGTTCTCAAGTCAGCAACCCCCACACAGTGTTCTGGACTCGGGGTTGGGTCCTGGAAGAGCTTCCTGACCCTCTTCCCAAAGCTCAAAGGCACTCTCGGGCCACATCCAGGGAGCAGAGCTGGGGCCCAGGAGGCTTTACCTGACGGCTCGGATGGCGGCTTTCAGGGTGGGGATCATGTCTTCCATGAGGAACTCATTCCCATAGCCCCTGTCTTCTGCCATGGGGTCACCGGTCCCAGCATCTAGGAGGGAGACGCACAGATCAATAGCAGGCCGGGACCACAGAGACGCTCAAGTCAGAGTGTCCAGGCCCCCAGGTTTGTCAACGCCAAGTCGTTGTTCCCCCGGGGAAGCTCGGCAGCAGTCTCCAGGTGTGACTGAGTCAGCCTCTCTTAGCACCCTTGCTCCATCTCCTGCAGTTGGAGCCAGAGTGCGTGTGTGGCTCCCGGCTGTTGGAGGGGAGAGGGCTGGGAGGGAAGCTGGTGAGTTCTACAGGTCCACAGTGGCCCCACGGAGGCAGCAGGGGCCACACACGCAGACTTCACAGTCAGATGGACCTGAGTCCAGATTCTTGCTCTGCCGGTCTCCATCCTGGGGTTGTAGGAGGTCGCCGTCTGAGCCTTGCAGACCTCAGAGGTCTTGCGCAAGGCTGAGTGATACACCGAATCTCACGGGCTTGGGTGGCCTCAGACGTGGAGGGTGCGGCTTTTCCGCTGGCCTTTTATTTTCATTGGTGAAGGTGGCCCTTGGGGCCATTGCTACTCCAACTGCCACGGGGAGCTTTTCGGACATCTCTTCTCACACCTGGTGGTGCCCAGGGCCTCCCACCTACAGGCCTCTCGACACCTGGCCCCTGTCCATCCTTCAAGTTGACCTCCATGACAATTCTCTGCTGTGACATGCTCCAGGGCTCCCCGGAGGGCTGGTGCTGATGCTCCCGGCCCAGGCAAACAGCCAACGTGGGAGCCTCCTACACTCTATGAGTCAAGGCATTGTATCACAGCTGCCTCCAGCCCGACGTGGATACAGCGAAGCAGGAGGTTGGTTCGGGGAAGGAAGGGAGAGAGGTGCACTTTGTGGGCACAGGAGCTCTTCAGGGGGCAGAGGGGGAGGTGAGGATGGGAGGGAGAGGAGGAGGAGGAGGAGACAGAATGGGAGGGAGGACGGCATTACCTTCAGAGCTCTGCCAGAAAGCGTAGGCTTTCATGCGGAAGGCGGTGCGGAAGCGCTCTTTATTGTTTAAGCCCACGGGCTTTGGTTCTTTAGAAGGACTTTCTTCTATGGCATCTACATTCAGAGGGGTAAATAGCTTTCCTTTAGTATTGCTACCACGAGGATTAGAAAGGCGAACCCGATCCAAGAGACCCAGCTTTTGGCTACAAAATAAGCAAAAGTGAACAATTTTCCTCCTTCAGTGCAGGCTCTTGTAACTTCCCACCCCTCCATAAAGACTCCCATTCTCCTCCAAGGGTGAATGGGGGCTGTGCACCCACAGTGCTACACCTGGGCTAGCAGCTCAGAATTGGACAGGGCATCGTTCAAATACAAGCTCAACAATTTACGGAGCTATCACACCTTGGGCACCTTTCTCGGCTGCTCTGAGCTGTGTTTCCTCCCGTGCCAGGCTGCCTATGGTGCATGCCTGGCTCTTGGAAGTGTGTGTGAAGAGCTGTGCCTTCTCCGTGCCCTTGTCCTCTGCACCACAACGTTCTGCTTTTCCTTGGAACCATCTCATGATGCCGATGCCCTGACATTGACTTATGGGGACAAATCCTTGTCCAATGTTCTTTGAATGGAGCTGACATGAGTGACAGAACTCAGTCCCCTTGGACCTGCTATCCACAGAGAAACCCCGCCCTGCATAGAATCTGGGGTGGGAAAAGTGGCATTCTTAGTTTACTAAATTCTAACTAAAATTCAGCAGATCTTTGAATTACGAACGTAGGCAACAAACCCCAACGATGGCTTCCACATCTGACTGTCCACAGTGGGAATCACAGGAAGTTTTGCATCCTGTCATTTCCAGGCAATGTTTATAGACATTGCTGCTTCTCATTCACAAAGCAGCACACGTGAGTGCACCTCAGATTGCCAAGCATTTTGATGGCTGTCTCAGTATGATCAGTTTCTTTTGTGCCTATATATTAGATTTGACTTAGGAGCCCATGTTCTCTGCCAAATTGTTACAAGGGTGCTCAACACAAAAACAAGTTAATAACTCCACAATAAAGCTGCCCTGGTGCAAAAAAAGCCATTGACTCTGGACTCGTAGCCCCGGGTCATCCTTGCCATCTGGTGACCTAGGACAAACCTTTGAACTCGGTCACCTTGGCTATAAACTGGGATGGCGTTTCCCGCCTCCTGTGGTTGTCATGATGTGACACTTATTGAGGATTTGGCATGGAGTCTGACACACAGTAGGTGCTTTATAAACATTAATTTCTTCCTTCTGTCTCTCAGTCTCTGCCCTCTTGCCCTAGTGCACACTAAGAATGAACTCCTCTTTGTGTAGAACTTCCCAGAGAGAGAGAGAGAGCGAGTGTGAGCCACATTGTTTGTTTTGTCTATCTCCTCAGTGTGCTCAATGCAGAGCCTTCCTCTCCATAATCCCACACAGCCTGGCACACAGTAGGTGCTCATGTGCTTGTGGAACAACTGGAAGAGGGAAGGGACACGAATGCTCCCGTCAGTTCTGTGTGAGCCTGGGATCACACTGCTTTCTGCAGAGTGTGTCTCGTGATGGCAGCCACAAGCTTCTGCCCCAGCTGCTAGTGTCTTCGCAGCCTGGCACAGTGTGCAGGCCATGGAGCTGAGGCTGCAGAGGTGAGCTGTGAACTCCCCTCCTGCTGAGCAGGGGCCCTGCGCTCTCAGAGCACCAGCTCCTCGTCTGTTAGGGGGGCCTGATGACACCTGCTTTGTAGAGCTTTTGGGAGTATTACATGTGATGCTATCTGTAAAGTTTCTTTCCTATAGTCTAGCATAGAGAAGGCACTAATGAATATTTGACAAGCAACCGAATGAATGGATGAATACATGAGTGGGGTATGGGTGACCATTGTGTCTAACTCCCCCTGGACCTGATATCCCTCCCTCTGCACTTTTTACTGCAATTTCATTGAAGCATTTCCTTAAGAATCTACCCAGGGTAAATCCAGAGAAACTCCAATTCTCAGGTCCATCTTCCCTGAGCTGCAGTCAGCAGTGTGGAGCTGTTGTCCCAACTGATGTAATGAATGACTAGGACAGAGGAAACGTCAGGACCCATGGGCTAAAAATAGACAAGACAGGAAGTCAACTGAACAGACTGAGAAGGTGTTTTCTGCCCATGAGCTGAGTTAGAGGGGAAGTGAGGACAAATGCTTCTCAAGCCCATGTCCCTGCCTACCTGCCTTGCCCTCCCTCCTAGTGGATCCATCTTCCCAAGCCCCTGACCCCCTGTACGCTTTGGCACACACAGGTCCTCCTCCTTGCAATGGCCTGTCTTGCCCTCTCAGCTGATGCCATTCCTATCTGTCCTGTAAAACTGTGTCCAGTTTCCACTCTGAGGAGTCAGGTGCTCCAAAGACGCACAGTGCATTTCTGCACAATATGGTGTGGAAATTGTGCTTTTCCATGCACACTTGCCCTGAATATAACTAGGCCTGATGTCTTGGAGCCCAGCACACACCCAGTTCAGCACCCTGCATGGGCTTTGGGGCAAAACCAGCCTGGGAGAGACACCCTGACAAATCATGTGACAGACCTTAAGCTCTCTGGTCCCCAGTGTCCTCACACACAGAATGATGACTTAAACCCACATTCATACAGTTGCTGAAGGGTTAAATGAGGTAATGCACATGAAGTGCTCAGCCTGCTGTTTGGAATGCAGGAAGCGTTCAATAAATGCTGGCTGTCATCATTATCTCCATAAATAATCCTCTTCCCACAGAAGCCACAAAGGCTGACGACACGTGAGAAGAGGGTGGATACAATTTCCTGGGCCACAGAAACCGGTTTCTTTTTAAAAAATAAGCTGAGATGAGTTTGGAGGGGATTCACACATTATCCTATGATGCTTCTTAATGCTGGTGGCAAAACCTCAACACTGTCATTATGCTGCACACTGGTAGCAGATGAGTATACTGAGGAGCTTAACTGGAGATAAACTAAGACAAAATTAATGGACGCCACTCCATCCTGACTTGAAATTTCAGCATAATTGTTGGATAAGAGAAAGATGATGGCAAGGCCCTTTTGCTACTATCAGTGCTGATATTTAGGATTTGCTTGCTTGGTATTTAAATGCTTCACTGCAGCTTCTCATGGTATGCATTACTTTGGACATGTTCACTTAATACTGCACCGGTCATGGATGGCAGGTTGGACTGGGTTATAAAACCAGATGCATCAGGCACAAGTCAGAAGCCTCGGTTCTGAATTACAGCCCTTGCACCTAAGAGGCTTATGGAATTCCTCCTCTAGCAAAGTGGGTGATCAGCTTACTTCTTAATCGTGTGGTCTGAAATCCAAGACCCCAAAGAATGATCAAATGCAAGGCAGGTTCACCCCTGAAGCTCAAAACCCTTCTCTGACCTCTCCATATGGGTTTCTAGGGCATAATCCAGGCCTTGTTCTCAGAGGCTACTGCAGACCTTGCAAGAAACGCCCTCCTTAGAGGGCCTCCTTACAGCTGAAATCAGATTTCCTAGAAAAGCCCACTCTCCTGATTTGCTGAGGGCAGACAAACAATTTCCAAATAAGCATCAAAAAAACTGCAGTTTCAGGGAATGGAGGCAGAAAGGTAAAATCACGGTTGCTCTGTTCTGGCAGACAAAGGCCTTGTCTTGGGTTGCTGCCTCGGGTCTCTCTGCCCACAGAGCTCCAGCCACGTTCAGTTCCATGCAGGTGCTGTGTACCCTCTGCCCGGGAGTACCTGTATCGCCTCTGGGATCAAACAACTCTGATTTTTGTCTAAAGCATCAGTCCCAAGGCTCAGTTTTCAGCACATCTGGACGTTCAGTATAGTAGCTAAGTTCCAATGAACCATTCACTGTGGCCATGGCAACCTTTAGGCTCTTCTCATTCCTGGTCCTTGGACACTGTAGTGAAATCTTTGACTCCCTATTGACTCTCCCACTAAGTGATTCTCAGTAAGGGTGATTTTATCTCCCAGGGGTCACTGGCACTGTCTGGAGACATATTTGGTTGATGACACAACTTGTGGAGCACTTCTGGCACCTAGTGGGTAGAGGCCAGAGACGCTGCTGAAACATCCTGCAATGCACAAGACAGTTCCCCACCACCTGAAGTATGTCCTAGCAACAGTACTGAGGTTGAGAAACTAAGAGCCAAGTCTTTGAAGCACAAACTACCTTGTTCAATTCAGAAATCCAGAGCCTGTCACGCTGCAAGCAAAGCATCATGATGTTGAAAAAAAGGAAGGACTAAATGTCAAATCTTCTGCTTATTTAATTAGCCCCACCCCAGCTGAGTGAGGGACTGCTGTACAGCACAAAGAGTGTGGACTTAGGAATAAGAAAATGGGTTCAAATATCTGATCTGCAGCTAATAGCAGCTCTTACTGATTTAATTTTTCACCCGTGTAAGGGAGCTCAACAAAACTGTGTTCAATACCTTGTACATTCTAGGCTTTGGGTAACTTGCTGCATGTATACTAGTGACTGAAACTGCTGTGGTTTTCAGCCTCCAGTATGCTTATGATAACGTTAAGGAGATCAAAATCTAGCGATACAAATATCGATAGACTATCACAAGGAAACAAAGAGTGCAGTAACAGGAATAACAGGTGGGCGCTTAGGTAGGGGGATGAGGGACGACAGGAAAGTGATTAGGAAGCCACATTCAGGGTTAAGGTGATATGGCCCCGGGGCCGGCACTGTGGTGCAGCGGGTTAATGCCCTGGCCTGAAGCGCCGGCATCCCATATGGGCACTGGTTCTAGTCCTGGCTGCTCCTCTTCCTATCTAGCTCTCTGCTGTGTGTGGCCTGGGAAAGCAGAAGAAGATGGCCCAAGTCCTTGGGTCCCTGCACCCACACAGGAAACCCAGAAGAAGTTCTTGGCTCTTGGCTTCCGATCGGCACAGCTCCTGCTGTTGCAGCCAATTGGGGAGTGAACCATCAGATGGAAGATCTCTCTCTCTGTGTCTCTCCTCTCTCTGTGTAACTCTGACTTTCAAATACATAAATCTTTTTAAAAAATGGTTAAATCTTATAAAGCATGGACTTGTGAGTGCTGGGCAAAATGCATTTATGGCCCAGAAACTGAAACCCATACTTGAAGGATGAAAAGAAGCTGACCCTCAAAGCAAAGGCATGAGATGTCCCCAAGTGGACATGTTAGGACTGGCTTTGTGTGACTACAGGGAGGACAAGTGGCC